GCTTAAGGAAGTGATTATTGATAAATCAAAATAAATTTTAAAAAATTTTAAAAAATAAATTTGGAGGGGAAAAAAGAAATAAACACAGACCTAAATAATTGGAGAGATATTAATTGTTCATGGTGGGGTCATGCCAATTACATAAAGAAATGGCAATGTGAACTTAAATTAACTTATTTACTATGTACTATGCCAAACTTCCAAAGTGTTATTTTATAAAGCCTGAAAAAAAATAACAATTAAATTCATTCGAAGCAATAAAATATCAAGAATCTCAAAGAAATAATGAAAAAAAAGTTGGGAAGGATCTATCAGTTCAAGATCTCAAATTATACTAGAAAACAGCAATCATGAAAACAATTTGCTACTGTTTAAAAAAATCAAAAACAAAAACAAACTATATCTCCCACCATATAGTATTAGATCCAAACAGATACATGATCTAGATATAAAAGATTATACCATAAACAAATTAGAGAAACCAGGAAGATGACACCTTTTACCACTATGGATAAGGGAATACTTCTTGATCAAATAAGATATAGAAACACTGGGGATAAAATGGACAATTCTGATTATATAAAATTTAAAGCTTTTGCACAAACAAAATGTAGTTAAAAGCAGGAGGGAAGCTGTTAGGGGAACTTTTTTTTTTTTTTGCCGCAGTTTCTCTGATAAGGGTGTGATGTCCAAGATACATCAAACATCGATTCAAATATATAAGGCCATTGCCCGATAAATGGTCAACGGATATGAAAGTTAGTTCTCAAAGGGAAGAAATTCAAGCTATCAACAATCACATGAAAAAATGCTCCAAATCACCCCAGGTTGGGGCATTTATTTTCTCAAAGCTCTTGGATTCAGGTCCTGAGCTGTCTCCACTGGGGTCTGAAGGAGGATGGTGGTCAAGGTGTGGGTGCATAGCTGCTTCCTGCCCCTTCCTCAGGGAGCCTTGCTGCTTCAGCTAGGCTGTCTCGCTTGCCCTGCGGGTGGAGATGGCTGGCTCCATTCCCCACAGAATTGCTTCCCCAGGTGATGGCTGTGAGTACATTCTAGGCATGGGAGATGGCCCGTACAGAAGCATGGAGATGGGAGAATGCCATTTCTGCATTCCTGTTTATTAGACCTTTTGAACTGGAGGTCCTGCTCACATTTCAAACTCAACATATCATAGTCAGAATTCATGTTCTTTTCCTCCAAATTCACCCCCCTTTTATCTTTGCTTCTTATTTCTTTTGAGAGCACCACTGTACTATCAGTCATCCAGGTTCATGGCTTCAGTTAATCTCTTCACTCTCCCACATATCCTCTATCTGATCAGTAATCAAGCCTTGTCAGTTCTGACTTGAATCTATCTCCTTCTCTCCATTCACAACCCTAGTCCTCTGTTCACCTCTTGTACAGTATATTGCAAAAGCCTCCTAGATGGTTTCTCTGACTCGTGTCTCCTTTCCAATTTTATCCTCTACACAGCTGCCACATTGATATTACTAAAGCATGGATTTGACTGGATCACTCCCCTGCTCAAGAAGTCCCACTGTCTGCCTATTGCCTCTAGGATAAAAGATTGCTGTTTGGCATTTAAAGCCCTTTATCATTTGGCCCCAGTCTATGTTTCTAGGCTTATTGAATATTATTCTCCTTCATACATTCTACCGTCCAACTAAATTGGCTTGCTGTTGTTCCCTGTTCTCAACACTCCATCTTTCCCTTACACATCTGTTTAGGCTGAACCTTTACCTGGAATGTGCTCTCTTTGCTCCCCCCCCCCCCCCCCCGTTAGAATCTGTAGCTTTCAGTATTCAAGGCTCAGCTCAGGCACCACCTTCTACTTAATAAGGCCTTTTCTGCTCCTCCCAGATATCAGTGCCCTCTCCCCATAGAAAATACCTTGTATTTATTTTTTATAGATTTTTATTCTTATTTTTGTATATTCTATATCCTCAAAATAAATGCTTGTTGAACTGAATTGAATAGATGCTATGTGAAGGCTTTTTCCTGTATCCTGAACCTTGGTGACCACCACAGCTTTCTGGAGAAATCAATCAGTTCCTTCTCAGGGACTCTTAAAGAAGACTCTCCTTTTTAAAACAAAAATCTAAACTTAGCTGATCTTAAGGCTTCTTCCAGCTCTCATACGATATCAGAGTCAGGCATCCTCGACCAGGTTCGTCTGCCCTTTTTTATAATCCCAGGCCCATGTTTCAGCCAATTAAAAAAGCCCTCCCATGCTGAAGTTTTTGATGCCCCCATATCTATGTTACCAGAAAAAGCATCAGTGCCAAAATGGGCAGTAGTACTTGCTTAGGCGTGTGCTGCTCCATTCGAGCACAATTTCCGTGTTGATTTTCTTCCTTTTTTCATGATGGGAAAGGGAGAAGAAAAGGACTGCCAGTCTCTTTTTCTCACTTCCTCTCCTCCCTCTTCATTTCTCCTTTCTCTCCCAGTCTCCTGTGTTTCTCTTTCTCTTTCCTGTCTTCTCTCCTCTCTCTAGCTTCAAAATCTCAGTGCAGTTCTAAGCTACATCCAAGGAAACAGGGAGGATAAACCCTGGAGCCCTAATCCAAATGAAAAACTATTAAGTAGCTATTATATGAAAGGTGCTGTTAGGTGCTGAGGCTACAAATATGGAATAGGACTAAATTCTTCTCTTCAAGGAAATACCAACCTTACAGTCTTGACAGGAAAGCACTTTGTAAACTTCAGTAACTGTATTTATTATTATCATTACTACCATAATTCCAGTGTTATTATTATTACTACAGTCCAAAGAGGGGGATGGGAAATTTGCAAATATCAGTGCTATAAATTGTAAATGCAAAGAAGTTCAAACCGAAGGAATGAAATTCCCCCTCTACGAGCTGCCAGCTGAACTGATTCTTGAAGAATTTTCTGCAGTTTGGGAAGACCATTTCATGCACAGGGGAGTGTAAGCCAAGGTCGGGATGGCAGAAAAGGCCATGACAAGGTCAGGGAAGAGGGAGCAGTCTAGTTTGTGTGGAATCCAAGTTGTATGGGATCCAGCTGGAAAGATGCATTAGTGTCAGACTGTGAAAGATCTTGAATGCCAGGCTAGGAAAAGCAATGGAGAAAGAATTAGAGTGAAGGAGTAACATGACTACACTGGTATCATATTAGGAAGATAATTTTAGTAGCTGTACCAAGGATGGATTGGGAGAGGGAGTGGATGGAGGGAGATGACAACAATTATCCAAAGGACAGATGGTGAAGACCCAAACTAAGTGGGTCGCAATGGGAGTGAAGGAAGATACGGTTATCATTACTGAGACTTCTACTAACAGTAATACTTTTCATCTCTTAATCTAAGTCTAAAAGGAACTGCAATAAGGTAGGTGTGTTGGCAGCAGTGCAGAAAATGGTAGGCCTCTTTCATGGGAATGGCACTAGGGGCACCTACGCACAGCACCTTACACAAGACCTAAACACTGAACTCCAAAACTCAGAGGGCTACAACTGACCAAAATATGATGGCTCTTGTTCATTTGAACTTTTTGGCTTCTTGTTGATGTAGGATCTAAAACCTCACATAATTAATCACACCTCACGAACAATTTTTTGACCAGTTCAATTTATTCATTGTAATTAAGAGGTAACTATGGAAAGGTTATTTAATCCTCAAATCCTCTTGCAGAACAGCTCTAATTTAAGTTTTATCTTTTCTGGCAGGTCCTTGGACTCCCAGGAGACTTCTCTTACAAAAAAATACTGTCTATCTTTAAAACTGAGCTAGAAGGTGGAGATTCTCTCTTACACATTAATCTCCTGTGTTAATGTTCCCCCAGGCTTAAATCATGAGAACTGGCAACAGAAATTTCATAGTAGTTACATTTGGACACACTTGGAGTAGTAGGATGGAGTTCTTTGGATAGTTTATTGGAGTTTGTATTACCAAAACTTAACTACTGTCATGATTAACTGGTGTGACATAATAGGAATAGCCTATTGGATAATATAAAGGGGTAAAAAAATCAAATCTTTTAACTTCCTTCCTAAGACAACGGCTTCACATTTGTTGTGGGCTTTGTTAGGGTATCTGTCTAGGACAAGGCAGAAGACTTTGCACAGATGACATGGCAAGTCCTACCTTCTGGGATGCTCTGGCCTTTTGGGGTATGGCCACCTGTAGGGAAGACCTGGGATTATTTTTATAGACATCTTTTCTCTCCTCCTCATGGAAGTATAGCTGACAACTGAATTAAAGTGATCCCTTACAAATGTGCTCACCTACAGTTGCTACTTCCATGATATGCTCATTGATAGTATGTCTGTCTCTTGCCTCTCTGTCCACATGCCTGACCCAGCTGACTACCTATGACAAACCCGGGAAAAGGCTGACAAAAACAAGCATAGAACTAGTTGGAGAATCAGGTTTTGTTCTCCTATTTCTTATTGTTTTATTAGTACATTTATGCATCCTCTCTAAGTGCAAAAATATCAAGTAAAAAAGTCTCATCTTTTTTGAGGGGCAAAGTTTGAAGGGGCTTGAAAGTCTAGGCTTTAAAAAAAAACACCTGTTTTAAACTAGGTGGCATAATGAAGAGTCCTAGACATACAGTCAGGAAGACACGAGTTCAAATCCAGCCTCAGATACTAACTAGCTGTGTGACCCTGCAGTCACTTAATCTGCCTCAGTTTCCTCAACTATAAAATGGGGATAATAATAGCACTTCCCAGGCTTGTAAGCATCAAATGAAATAATATCTGTAAAGCTCTTGCTATGGAAATGAGTTATTATTATTGTTAGTCTAGCTTATCAGTAAGAGAAGTGGTCTAGGATGAATAGGATGACTACCACAGGCCTGATTTTGAATAGTTTATTAAAGGAAAGGTGAAGCATCAGTTTCAAATTGTACAAAAGGAAAAACCTCATATTGTAAATGTACAATTTACAGAAGTACTAGCAAAACCAATCAAGGAGACACTCAAAATACAAAAATCTATTTGACTTCAAACTGAATTGGAAACCCATTGGAGGTACCTAGATATTAAACCATTTTTTTTTGTTTTTGTTTTTTGTTATACAGTATTCTACAATTCTAAGTTAGGATTCAGTTTTCCACAGAGGACTGTGAAGAACAAGACCGGTGTGTGATTGTGACTCAAACCATGCAGCATCGATCGCGATCTTCTGCTCTCCCAGAACTACTGAGCTGATGTGTTAATGCAGCTATTCCTGCTGTCCTCCTTCCCCAACAAAGTAACAGTTCTAACAGCACAGCATTGTTGTCCCTTCTTAACCCTGGCTGAGGAACTGCTGAATTAGCAAGTCAAACATTTTTGGCAACCAAGTCTTATTTTGAGGACTGTACACATATTTTTGAAAACAAAAAATCTCAATTTTTTATGTTTATTAAAAGGATGAAAACATCCAGTTTTTTTCCTCCTTCCCAAAAGGTAATCACCGGGTGTGCAGATTTTTATCCTTTTTAAAAAAGAATGAAATTTTTGGTAAAAGAGAAAGTCTCATGATTTTGTTGCAGCTGATTTAAAAATAACCACTTAATCAGAAATAGCCGTTCTTACAGTGGATGGCTGTGTTTTGAAGTTCCAGTGCTAAAGTAAAGAATCAAAAAGGATGAAGAAAAGTTGTTTTCTCAAACTACAATAGCAGCAACTGGGCATAGTCAGAAAAGCTAAGCAGAATGAAACTCCAAACCACTGACGACATTTAAACCTCTTAGTACAATGGATTAGCTCAGGGCTAGTTTGGCCTTTCTTCTGTTGTGAAAATTCATGATTTTTCTCCCATGGAAGAATAACTTTTAATATGCACAGTTAATACCGAAAATGTAGCTGGATTCCTCGGTAAGCTTAAGAACTTCACTCTCTAAGCATACACTTCTATGCAGCACATACTTCTAACTGGCAAAATTAATTTACAAAATTATTCAGCACATAAGGGTATTTACTGCATGGAAAGTAGACACAACGATGGTACAGTTAAAATTGCTTCTGAACGGCAAAGTGATTATTTTAGGAATTCATGATTATTTTCCTAAGGAAATGGCAGTCTATGTACCTTGGGTTTGGCAGGGCATGATATAAGTGATAAAAACAGCAAACTGATAACTTGAGAACTGTTTGTTTGTTTTACTGAGAATACTTTATTTGCTGGTATAAGTTGCTAAAAATGCACAGAACAAATACCCATAGAAAATGTACTGTGTTCGTGTCTCCCTGGTGCTATATAAAATGTGTTGTTGCACAGCATTTGTTGGAAAAGTGGCTGCATGGACATTTCTGATTTTATGCCCCCTTATAAATAAAAATAAACCTTCTTTCTCAAGAGTATATAAAATCTGGGTTTTTCATCCCTGTCTTGGGGTGTGTGTGGGTGTGGGTGTGGGTGTGTATGTGTTTGGCAGCAGTGCACTGGGTCAGGGCTGTGCCGTGGGCTGTCAGTGTTCTGCTCCTCTCCATGCCCATGGACCACAATGTCAACCACATCCAGTGTGTTCAAAAACACTCTTCTGCAACCAGGATGACCGGCTTATATAGCATCGTTGCCAGTCAATGACTGACTGGCATAGGTTTAATAAAAATGGTTAGCTCTTAAAACATAAAAAGGCAAATGTTAAAACAGTTTTAAATTGTACAGCAGGAAAATAAAGTTAAAAATATTTTTTTTCCACTCAATGCTGAGTTTTCATAAAACAGGTGTACAACAGTGTTTATCTTGACAGCTGTCTTAAAAATTTAAAATCCCCACCCCCCATCCAGAAAAAAACCACACACATCTGTATTGGGATAGTCCAGTACTAGAATACAAATGATTTTTCAGGTCAGTCTTTCTGAGGTGACTGTTCATTGACATTCCTTTGTGTAATTTACATGCTCCTCTCTTCTGCTCTGTCACTGCAAAAAGGGACTGACCTTAATCATTTGATTAAAAAACAAAGCAGATCACATCAAAAGTGTTTTTTTTTTTCATACAAGCTATCACAGTATATAGGCCTCTAGCTCTAAATAATAGAGTTCCAGATTTATAAAATTTCTTCATCAGACTTCAGAACATAGGCATTCCAAATCCCTGGAAAAATTAAAAAAAAAATTGTTACACACAAACAACAGTCAAAAAAATGGATAAAAATCACTAACTAAAAGAAATATATAAACTTACACCGAAAGAAATAAGCAGAACTAAGAACAACATATGCTATGACTATAGCGGTTTGAATGAAAAAGTCACAAAAAGGTAGATGAACCACGAATAAATGAAAAACCAATGAAGGTCTTGGAGAAGAGAAAATGAACTATCCTTCCCACCTCACAAGTCCAGGGGTGGGAGATGACTAGGGCAGAATAATGCAAAAGCTGTCAGATAGTGTAAATGTATTAGATGTTTTTGCTTAATTGTTCTTTTTTTGTCACTAGGGAGGGTTTAATCTGGAGAGAAGGAGGGTTGAAATGGCTGCTCTACAAAAGCAAAAGGCATGTATTAAAAAACCTACTGAATCGTCTTCTATGATAGCTGCAGAATCAAAGAAATCTGGCCTCAATTCCGCTCGTTCTCTTCGGTTTCTTGAAGGGGGCTGAAAAGAGAAGTAATTTAGTGACTTGCCACCTGAGAAAGAGTTTCCAAACAATGACAAGTGACTATAAAAAATTATATTTCTCAAAAGAATTTTTCTTTTTGGTTTAAAAAAACTTGGGCTTGGGAATCTACTAGTGAAAATTATGCATCTGTCAATGTTAAAATGACTAAAATATTAAGAGGTTGAAACCACATTAAAAATGACATGGAGAGAGAAAAATTTTGGGGTTTTCTCTTAGGAGTATTTTATTTAATGGAAAAGAGGATATTAATATTTTACATCTTAATATTTGGATCCACGGTTTAGTATAACCAGAGGTGAACTGCCAATGGTGAAAGACAAATTGGGTTTGGGCTTTTTCTCAAATTCAGACTAAAGAATAACAGATTCACATTATTGCAATCATTTTTGGAGCAATACAATCTCTAAACTGATTTAAGCTTACCCAAATGCCCATGAGCCCAATCACTGGGGCTCTAGCATTCTATTATCAGCATTGCCTTAACCCCAATCTTGACTGCCACTCATCACCCACCTGCCCCAAAAACTTAAGCAACAGCATGCAGTCAATACTAATATCCTTAAATATAAAAAAAAAAAAAACATCAAACTTGTTGAATTTCTTTACCAGATCAATAACCATGGTGTCTTCAAATTCCTCATTCATATCCTCCAACTGTCCCCGGGATGACATCATCACATCTTCAAAGATGGGCTCAGCATCATCCTCCATAAGGCCTCGGCTGAAGTGTGATAAGGGATACTTTAAAAAAACTGTTCACACTCAAAAAACCATTGCTGATAGTTTAGTTCTTTTTTAGATCAACACTTCAAACTAAAGAAAACAGATCTGCTAAATGTATCATTCAAGTTCCACTCAAAGAAACTGTGGTTCAGCCCTAAAGGAACCTAAAACTTGCGTCAAATTTAATCTCAAATAAAATAGAAGTATCAATTATAAGAATTTTTAATTCTTCAAACTTTTACAAAGACTGATCAGTACAGAAATATAAACCACTCCACAGATCGAAATTACTAGCATCATGTGCAGTCTTTTTGTTACCATGATCCTTAGTTATGAATACTTACACTGCATTCCTTACTCCACTTCTCACTTTCATGTAGTTCATTCCTGTTCTGTCCTTTCGATTTAAGTCTTCTAACTTTTGTTGGCCTAACCAGGAGATCTGCATCTGAGGACTAAGAGAGACAAGATATTATTATTCACGTAGCAGTGGCTGGTTGCCCAGTAGGTAGAGTGCCATGGAAATCTGGCTTGATTACTCATCCAAATGAATAAGTCAGTTCATTTCTATGGTCAGAGATCTCAACCTCAACTAGACATTTAAAAATATGGGCCACTATTCATAAAGACACCAGCTAAGGATGGGGATGAATCAGCAGAAAACGACTTCTGAAAGGATCTCTACATGGTGGAGTGAACTCCTTGTATAACTGTAATATCTCCGCAGACAGGATCCTCTGGTGCCATGTGCCCTGGAGAAGATTCACACTATATATAAACTTGTTTTAGGAGTGCTCAGGCTGTCTAGGAATCTGTTTTTTAAATATTTTGATAACTGCATTTCATTATAACTGGCTTCCTTTATAATCCTAAGTATTTTATTTGATGCATTTGAAAATCTTATGCTTAGAAGCAGTCCACAGGCTTCATCAGATGGCCCAAGGGGTACATGTCACAAAGAAGCATAAGAGTCCCCACATTAAAGCAAAGGAAAGGTAACTCTTAGTTGCTCTCCTCCCAGGACATTAACCTGTTGGCTTGGGGAAAGGAGGTAAAATGGGCCATAAATCAGAACCTGTACTCTATACCCTGTTACTGGCCTGGCCTCCAGGGCTGCCTTTCTTTGAGGAACAGCAGCTTTTCCTTTGAGTGCTTGGAAGAAAACCTGATATTGGAGCTCCAGTTGTTTTGGAAATGGTATGAAGGGAATTGAGGTAACCCTTGGGTCCTATTTCTGATCCAGCTGCTGTATTTTCATGGTCTTCTTACAGGCCTGCCTCTGTTCTTCTAAAGCCCACCCTACATTCCTTAGATGATATTTTCATTCCCCCATTTCCCACTTCCCCCTGAAGAAAAGCTAAAACTCACATCAGAAAGGAGACAAAACCAAACAAAACAAAAGACAACCCACAAATCCTGGAAATTTCCAAAGGATGCCACTTAGCAATTGCTGGAATTCATTACTGATAAATGCAAGGTTTTGTTTTTTTTTTAAAAGAAATTCCTTCCCAAAGCTTTTACCAACTTACCCACCCCTGCCCTGCTACCCAATCCCTTAGGTCTATATGGTCACTCACTTCTTAACCTGTTGCACTAATGCACACAGTTTTGTTTCAAAGGGAAATCTGAAGCAATAGGCAACAGGGCTTGGACAGATTAATCCTGCAAACAACTTGCCTTAATCTGTTAGGTTGATCAATTTATCACTAATGTTGTAATCCTCCACCTTTATGTATTTTTCATGGTTTTTTGATAAGTATCCTTTACTTCAAGGTTGTACTAATTGTTAAAAAACTACCTTTTGTGTTTTCTGCACTGTTGCATTCGTCAAATGGCCCCTTTTTAATACGTTTATTACCTTGTTACACACATTTTTGTCTTTGGTACTGTTTTCCCCTTTAGATGTATTTTATTTGAAGGTCACCTGCTATTGATTCAATAAATTTGGATTACTCCCATTAATGTAGAACAGTCAGTAAAGTTGCTATTTGGGGGGGAAAAAGCAAGTAGTGATCAGCCTACACTCAGGCTAGAGAAGGAGACATGCTGGAAAGAGGGGCCATTCTTAGGTAAAATGGAAATGCCACATGAGGAAAGAAGAATGTGTCCTGTGGCCTTGGAGGTCCAGAGAATTTAGGAAAGCATTAGCGGGTGAAGGAAACTAAAGAGCCTGGCCTAAATAACTAAGTTTGTTGTAAAAGGAATCTGAGTTTTTGTATAAGCTAAGAGCTCCTGGTCAAGGACTAGGACAAAATTGGCTTTTAGTCTTAGTAGGTGACAGAAATCTTTGGTTTAAAATTGGGGACAATGGTGTAATGGTGAAGTATAATAGTTCCATGTAGGTCTTCAATCTGTTGACAGAGCTTTGCTGTATGGGGAAGAAAGAGAAGATAAAAGAGGGATTGGAATGCAAGCACAGAGAAGACGGTACTTGGACAACATGATAGAGACCTCATATTCCTAATTTAACTAGGGGGCAGGATGCTTTCCTTCCCCAGCAGACTATACTGTTATGGTCTCCCAGGGTAGGGAAAAGGACTTCTAAAACTCTAAAAAGAAACAGGAAATCTAGGCAATAGTCCTCCTTTCATATTTGGAGAAAAAGTTTCTTTATATTAAATGTGTCTTATATGAAATTAGACAGAGTGAATTTCTGTCCCAATCAATGCCTCTATTCCTTTTTTTTTTAGTACTACATTTCACATTCAAGTGAGAGAAATTCTTTCGTACTTAGCTGAGTATACAACAGTTCAAAAATAGTCTGAAACAAAATCAAGTATAAAGACTTACTTAAGGGATGTTTCAAGGGTAAATGGAAAATGTCAAGAAATGTACATTTTTTTATAGTAACATAACATGAATGTACTGCATTTCTGTACTATTTTCAGCACAAGTCTGGTGTGTCTCTAACAGAGAAAGAGTCTTTTTAGATTAACTGATAAAGGGGCAACTTTAAGACACCTAGCATTTTCAGAGGAAAGAAACATCACTGTCCTTTAACCTTTAATCAATCAGCAATAGAACAAGAATGTTCCTAAGAGTAAAACAATTCACTAATGCTTTTAATAATAAAAATGATAGCTAGCATTTATATAGCATTTTTAGGTTTGCAAAGAGCTGTACATGCGCCATCTCATTTAAGTCTCATAATAGCTCTGAGGTATGCGTTATTTCTGTCTTACAGATGTGGAAACTGAGGCACAGAGAGGTCAAGTGACTTGCCCAAGGTCACACAGCTATTACGAGGACACATTTGAACTCAGGTCTTTCTGGTATCAGCTCCAGAGGTCTATCCACTGTGCCACCTAGCTTCTTCATAAGGAAACAAAATGGAAAACTATTAAGTTTTGAAACAAAATTTATGTGATTAGCCTCTTAAAATTCTTGAAAATATCCAAAGTGGTGTGGCAGCTAGGTGGTGCAGTAGATAGAGCACCAGCCCTGGATTCAGGAGGACCTGAGTTCAAATCTAGCCTCGGACACATAACACTTACTAGCTGTGTGACTCTGGGCAAGTCACTTAACCGCATTGCCTAGCCCTCCCCCCAAAAAAAAGAAAGAAAGAAAGAAAGAAAAATATCCAAAGTGAAGTGCAAACACATTAACATGAATTGAAGTACCTCCATGCAAAACTTAGTTTTTTTTAAAGAGAGGACAAAAATTAAATCTAGTAATGATGTTTTTATCCAAAGGCCAAACTTCTGGTTAACTTCAAATGCAAAAATAATACAGGAAGTATTTAATAAATATTTGTTGAATTGAATTTGGTTTATTAGTACTGATGTTGAGATATATCCTGTGACTATAGCACCTCTGTGTTTAGAGATGGAAGGCAAGAGCCAGGAGCATCTTTGCGAGAGGGATGATGGAGAAGAGATGCTGTATTTTTACTGTGGTAGCTGAATTAGAGTGCCTAGAACATTACATAGTGAGCCTGTGGGCTGGATAAGAATGTTTCTGGCAATCAGGATTCACAGCTGCTCAAAGCAGCGACACTCTATGCCTTAAGTTCCACTCCGTGGATAATGGATTCAGGTGGCATTAGAAAGAAGCATATTATTTCTGAGGATAAAATACGGGTTAGATTAAGTAGAGACAGAGTTTCAAACACTCTTTGTTGTCTTGATTTAAAAAAATAACATTAAGGAGTAAAATAATTTGTAATAATTTCTCTCATACTGAAACTGAGCTGTTTGGACCATGAGGCCATAACCACATCATTATTCCTCAGCTGGTGGCAACGAAACCCCTGGTTATAGCTGAAGTACCTAAGAGAAAATAAATAGTCCCTCAAGTACTGATCTTTTAAGTTTTAAATATAACGTGATAATATATCATTTGTGAAAAACAAGTGCGAGATGAGTGTCTCCACCTGCCTCCTCAGCTCCTCCTCACAAGCTGCCAAATGGAGCTAAAGGAAGTCACGTGACCACCCTGAATGCATCCACTACACATTTATGTTCTCCAGTTTCTCTCAGGCACTCACCATAGCAAGGCAATCCTTTTATTTTCCTGAACTGATTCCCTATCTCAGTTCCCACAGAAGCTCTTCCGCACCTCCCCATCTCCACCCTCTCTGATGAGGACTGTGTCTTGCTCACTGAGGTGATGAGCTCTCTCTTTTCTTCTTTTATTCATCTCAAACCCCCTTGACATCATCTCACTCTTCCTTTTCCCCGTGTCTGACTCCGTGTCTCATTCTTCCCATCCCTTCATCCCCTCTCTACTCCCTCTACCCCTGCCATCCCATCTACTGCCAAGGCCTTTTATCTTCTCTCCTCTGATTCTGCCATACTGCATGCCCTCCTCACTTCATACCTGCATTATTGCAATAGTCTGCTGGCTGGTCTCCCTGCCTTACTCCAGTCCATCCTTCACTCAGTTGTCAAAGTGATCTCCTCAGAGGGCAGCTTGTACCATGTAACACCCCCCCTCCCAATTCAATCAACTTATCAGATCCCTTATTACTTTTAGAATTAAATATAAAATCTTCTGCTTGGCTGGTAAAGTCCTTTACAACCTGTCCCCTTCCTACATTTCAATCTTCTTATACTCTGCTCCCCTGCATATACTCAGTGTTCTAGTAACACTGGTCTCCTTGCTGTTCCTTCCTGAAGACACCTACTCCAAGCATTTTGAGTGGCTGTCCCTCACTTGTGGAATGCTCTGCCTCCTCACCACCACCTCCTGGCTCCCTCTGAATTACGGCTAAAACATCTCTTCAGCCAAAAGCCTTTCCTCATCCTACTTAATGCTAGTATCTTTCTTCAGACATTGTCTCCAATTTATCCCCACACATACCTTGTTTGTACATAGCTGTTTACATGTCTCCTTCATTAAACTGTGAGCTCCTTGACGGTGGAGACTGTTCTGCCTTTCTTTGAATTCCAACTCCTCCTACCTCCCTCAAACCCCGGACACAGTGCCGGGCACACACAGCAGCAGTTGCTTACTGACTTGACTCTCATTCAGTCATTAACTCTTCGCAATCTGCAATCCAACCTGATCACTCAACCGAAACTGCTTTCTCCAAAGTTACCAACCATCTCTTAACTGTCAAATCTAATGGCCTTTTCTCAGTCCTGTTACTTCTTGGCTACATTTGAGCCCAATGACTACCCTAGCTTCTTGGGTGCATCCTCCTCTTTTTCTTGATACTACTCTTACCTGTCTCTCTTCTCAGTCTTATTGCTCCTTCTCAATTTCTACTGTTTGCTCCTCATCCATATCATGCCCCCAGTTGCAAGTGATCCCCAAGGCTTAGCTCTGCTCTGGGGCCTGTTCTCTCTACAGTTTCTCTGTTGGTGATTTGACGAGCTCCCATGGGTTTAATCATCATCTATATGCAAATGACTCCTAGATGTATCCATTCACTTTCTCCCCCAAACTCTGCATCACCAATTTCTCTTTGGAACATGTCAAACTGGATGCCCCACAGACCTTTGAAACTCAACATTCCCCAAACAAAACTCATTACCTTTCTTCCCAAACTCACCCTCTACTTTTTTGTTGTTGTTGTTTTTTTATTTTAGTGCGGCAATCGGGGTTAAGTGACTTGCCCAAGGTCACACAGCTAGTAGCCTCAAGTGTTTGGTCTGAGGCTGGATTTGAACTCAGGTCCTCCTGACTTCAGGGTTGGTGGTCTACCCACTGCGCCACCTAGCTGCCCCTACTCACCCTCTACATTAAAATGTCCTTTTTCTGTTGAAGGTACCATTAGTCTAAGTTTCCCAGGTTCCTAGTTTCGTCGTTGTCCTTGCCTCCTCATGCTCCTTGCTCCCACATATTCAATTATTTACCAAATCCCGTCATTTCTACCTCCACAGCATCTTCACATCTGACCTCTTCTCCCCACTCTCACAGCCACCACCTTGCTTCTTGCCTTCACTGCCTGCTGCCTGGACTATTAGGTACAATATGTACCGAACTGGTCTCCCTGCCTCATGTTTCTGTTTCTCCATACAAATCCTCCATATAAATGTCAAAATGATTTCCCTGAATTGCAGATATGACCATGTGATTTCTCTCCTCAATAAACTCCAGTAACTCTCTATTGCTTCTGGGATAAAACAGAGACTTCTCTGTTAGCTTTTAAAGACTTTTACCCCCTAGTTCCAATCTATCTTTCCAGCCTTTGTACATTAGTCCCCCTTTTGTTTGCTGCAATCTAGCCAAACTGCCCTTCTCTCTGCCTTCGCACATAGTGCTCCATCTCTTATCTCTAAGCTTTTCCATGGGCTGTCCTCCATGTCAGAATTTCACCTTTTTCACCCCCATCACAAAGATTCTTTCTTTTCTTTCATCCAAAGCCTTTCTTAATCTACTCATTACTAGTGGCTATTCTTTCCCTCTTCCCCAACCCCTAAAACAAGCTTATATTTATTCTTTATAGACTTAAATGTTTTTTTACCCCCCTGGTAAAATGTAAGATCCTTGAGAGAAGTAACTGTTTCATTCACTGAGTCTGCATCTGTAGCATCTAGGACAGTGCCCGACACAGTAGGTGTTTAATAAGTTCTTGTTGCTTCATTAAATAAAACATTACATGATATGTATAACTTGAAGGTAATCTGAAATTTAGTAAACGTGGATTGACCTTTCCTGAATACTGGTGACAAGAACGTCAGAATACATTGATGCTGCAGCAGTACTTTCTGCATTTTTCATTTGTAATTACGGCACAAATACTTAGGATTTGGGTGATAATCCCTGGAGGTTCAAGTGCCCAGGCTTGGGAGATTGTGACCTATAATGACATGAGGTTTGGATTTGATACCTGAGACCAGGGAAAAGTATCAAATATCCAATGGCCCTGGGTTGTATCATCTTAGTCTGGCCAATGAATGAGGAGCTAGTGTTGGGCCACAAGGTAAGATAAATTTAGAAGGAAAAGAGAAATTCAGTTGGGAGTTTCGGTCTGGTGATATTTTGAAGTAGGATTTCCGACATTCAATATTTTGAATGTTGGAAGGTGCAGGGGTACCTTTTCATGCTCAGGCTCAGGACTCAAGGCACTACAGGTGTTTAAGTAACTACAGGCAACCAAAATAATGCCTGGCTCTCGTTAAATTTGCAAATAATTTTCTTGTTTGTTTTGATACAAACTCCTCATTTTCGAATTTATGATTTTACTTTATTGTAAAGCTCCAACTGAGAGAGGTAAATATCTAGTATTGGCCAAAATTGTGATTTAAAAAAATAACTTTCACAATACTAAAAATTGCAGTGATTTCTGAAATTTCTTTTACTTTTGGAGGATACAGAAATACCTGTTCACTAAGTAGCATGAAAAAAACCAAGAATCTATTTTTACTATTTATGAAATAAAAATATTTGCATCTTAGATACCTTGTCAAATGCAGGTATTTTAAATGATTACTTACTTGTGTAAAAAGTCTGGTTCAGACCCATGTTCTGACTCAGGTTCTTGAATTTGTTCTCCTATCTGTCGATTATTTTCTCTCAGTACAGTGGATGTGAGCTGAGGGGTGGGCAGCGCTCCAGGAGTCTGAATGGTTGTATCATTCCTGTTTAGCCATGTGCCATCCAAACTTTCTTCTGTAATAACAGTTCATGTTAAAAACTGCCATACTACATAAGCCTCATAATTTATTCAACACAATATTCTTTCTGACAGGAGCTCTCATAGATGTTTCACAGAGGAGCACTGCTGACTCCTTTAAAGTAATCCCAGAACATTGAGTTTCCTGAGAAAGTCATTATGTCTTTGTCACCTAGGAGAATGTCCAAATACCTGAATATAGCTTATAATTTTTTGCCTTTAACACTTCATGGAACAATGAGTTCCATAGGTTTTTCTATCTTCTTTGTGAAGGAGAATGTCTTTGTTCCATATTTACCTTGCTAAAACTTCAAGGACTGCCTGCTTGTTCTACCAGTCCTGGGATTTAGTGAAGAAATCACTATCTCTTTTAACTTCCATAACAATTTGTAACTTTCGATACTTGGCTCATATCCCTTCTTAGTCTCTGACTTTCTTAATATTTGTTGGCTGTCACACAGAGGAATATTCTTCTATTCGCTTGATCTTTTATGCATCTAATACCTTTCGTTGATGCTCAATACTAATGGTTTTTGCAGCGCACTGACCTGTTACTTATTTTCGGGAAAAATTTATTATAACTTTTAGGTTCTGCCCTGCATCCTGACTGATAGTTTAGATTCTATCCTCATATAACAGTTTGGCTTATTTCTCCCACATGAATTACCTTGCACTTGACCATAACAAAACTGGGCCACCATTTTTCTGCCATCTTACAATAATGTGAGATCTTTGTATAATTTATCTTTACCAGCCTGACATTTCACTTCCTAGAAAAGCATATGAAAACTTGGAAAATTTCAGTGGGTATTTTTTTCCTATTTAAAAGCATATGAAGAATAGGAAATCCCTCACTCATTATATATTTATCTAATATATGCCCCTTTTTTCATTTGTCTAAGATTTTTTTCTATTCCTGACAAAAGACCCAAGGTCCCAGTGTGACAATTTTTTTTTTCTGGTATTCAGTTTTTATCAAAGTATTTTTGAAAGTCTAAATAAATTACATTCACTGATTATCCTTTATGCTCATGAACAATCATCTCCACAAAGAACTTAATCCAACGAGGTAGAACGGGGGGATACCATAGCTAAGGAATAAACTTTTAGAGTTTGAAGGAACCTTGGGGATTATTCTCTCATTTAACAGTGAGATACTGACTGGTAAGATGCCCTGCTAGAATTCAAAATACACTGACAAAGTCTTTCATGGTATACTTGTGGACAGGATAAAGAAATGCAAAGTGGAAAATGGTAAAGTTAGGTAGATTTATAATTGGTTAAACAATCACTCTCAAAAGATTGATTAATAATGTGATATCAATTAAGAAGAAAGTTTCTAGGGATATGCCACAGGGCTAAATATAAACACCAGCTTTCAATAATTTGTAAATTATCTCACTCTCCTGCCTATTCAGTCTTGCTTAAAGTATTTTCTCTCCCGAAACTATGAAGAATCACTTAACAGTGGAAGTCATATTAGATTCCAATTAATTTTGCGCTAATTACAGTGTAATTCTGGGTGAACGGAATGAGAATTTAAAAAACTGATGAACATTGCCTAGAGCCATGGTGAACAAGGACTCATAATCCTTTTTGGTTTTAGGAAGAAAATGTAAGCTAAAAAGAAGGGAGGTAGATTACAATAGGAAAATAAGGTATATGTGCTTTAATTCTTGGCTTCTTACTGAGAGAAGTTTAAAAAAAATAATGAGCACACAATTAACATAGTGATGCCCAGTGCCAGTAAGAAAAGCTAAGGACAACAAAAAGTTTGTTTTTTTCATGCTCCTGTTTTCAACAGTCTCCATTAAAATAATCTTCACCATTACTTTCTATTAAATCTTTGTTCTCTGTATACAAACATGTCCAGATAACTGATTTTCAAAAAAACCAGACAGGGACCCATCCATATTCCCCATATATCATGTTGCAAATTTGAGTTTCTTTTGGTGCCAACTCCTTATCCACCATTTGTACACTGTGACTTTGTTGTTGTTAAGTCCTCTGGGGGGCAGGTATGTTCTCAAGGGTAAGGCATACCACGTGGGTGGTACCAACAATGCTGATTCCCCAAGAAAGGCTTTTTAAAAGCTATATTAGGGAAAAGACGAGGATCATAGAAAAGTCAGTACTGCTGCCTGGGATGGGTGGGACAATGGTAAAAGGAGAAAATAAAGCTGTCGGAAGGCAGGAGTTATTTCATTTTTGTTTTTGCATATCCAATGTCTAGCACAGTGCTTTGCACAGAACAGCCATTTCACATCTGTTTGTTGAATTGTGTTTTTACTCAGTATGGACCAGAGAGAAGAGGAAGAACTATTTACTCACAGAAAATGATCTTAGGGTTAGAACAAAAATGGCAGATAGGAGCTGATTAATGATGATGAATAGTAAGACAGCAAGAGAACCTGGTGGCTCTTGCTGAGGCCCAGCTCCAGCCCAAATGAACTACAGATGTGGTTCCTGGGAGAGCTGTGGGTGGGAATGCAGAGTCATTTTCAGTAAACTTAAAAACCCATGGAGAACTGGAGAGGTCCTGCATGACAGAAGGACAAATGTCCCAATTTGGGGTGGCGAGAGAAGGGAGAGAACAGGAGTCTGAAAAATGAAAGTCAACCAGTGGGAAGATGGGTCACACTCCACCCTTCCCGAAATAGTCAATGATGGGCCTTCTCTCCAACAAAACCACATCTACTCTCATCTCAAAACCCTTTTCCATTTCACCACCTGCCAACTGTAGAAACTTCTAACCTATTTACTTTTGAGTCAGTGTTGGCTCATTATATTCTAACCATTACTCAGTACAGTTGTGAGCTTGACTTTGATTTCTAGAAAAAATTTCTAGAAAAATTCTAGAATTAAAGGCTGGTTAGTGACCATTTAGAAATGGTGGTCAAAGAACCAGACTGTCTTCATGACGAACAGCTCATATTAAGCTAATCTCATTTGCTTTTTTTGACAGGGTAGATCAAGGGACTGCTGCAGACATAGCTTACTTAATCTTTCCTGTTATTCCTGTGGACAAAGTGGAGGTATAGAGGCTGGACAATAGCAAAATTAATTAGGTCAATTCAGAACTGGCTAATTCAAAGAGTAGTCATGAATGATTCAAAGTTGACCTGGAAAGAGGTCTTCAGGCATTTGTACTTGGCACTGCACTCTTTAATATATTTATCAATAACTTAGATAAAAGCACAGGTGCTATGCTTATTAAATGTGAAGGTGATACAAAGTTGGGAGGGATGGTTAACATAGTGGATTAGAGTCAGGATTCAAAAGACTATTGGGATGGTTTAATAAGATAAAATTCAATAAAGACCAATATAAAAATCTTTACTTGGGTTAAAAAACAAACAAATAAACAAACAACTTAAGTATAAGTTGTGGGATGAATAGTTAGATTCCTATAGTTCACCTGAAAAAGATCTTGAGGTGTTAGTGGACTGCAGGCTCAACATGAGTTAATAATACCATCTTAGCCTACACTCTTCCCTGATCAGTTCCAGCTGCTATATTTTGGCAAGGACATCAATAAGCTTGACAGCATGCAGATATGGGCAGCTGGTATGGTGAAAGGTAATAAGTTCATGCATCATGAGGATTGATTTTAGAAACTGGAGATGTTTGCCTAAGAAGAAAAAAACAGATTGAGGACAGGATATATGTCTTCAAGAATTTGAAACTCTGTCATGTGGAATGTTTTGCTTGGTTCCACAGGACAGGCCTAAGGGGTCTCTTAGGTAGTGAAAGTTGTCAAGAGGAAAATTAAGCATTGATGTGAGTGACTATCCAAAGACAAGCCGAGGCAGAAGTGGTATGTTCCCATTCACCAGCGGTCTTCAAGCCAAGGACAAGTGATAAATTGTAAGGGATGTTGTAGAAAAGAGTCTTATTCCAGTAAAGTTAGACAAGGGAGCCTCTGAGGTTTTTCTAATTCTTATATTTTGTGATAGATTTTAAAGTCTTTAAGGGCAAGGTTAAGGTTTACTTCTTTTACATCGTCTACAGGGCAGGAAAGAGTTTCATCTCAGTATGAATTCTCAGTTTATAAGAACACTTAACTCTTCTGGTTTAACAATACACAACCAGAACAAACTTTTATCTCTAAGGGTTAAGTCACACTTACCTTCAACTCTCTTTTTGTGAAGTGGTGGCCGACCTTTCTTATTCCTTACTGATGAAGCTTTGCTACTGCTGCTTCCACTATTCACTGACATTCTGTCATCTTCCCCTCCAGTGACTAATGAGTTTCTATAGGAGATGAGTGGAAGCCATACATCTTCCCTCCTTTCCATCATCTGCTCTGTCAGGAATTTCTCTAGGTATGAATGGCTAAAAACACAGGAGAACAATCAAGAGTTTCTTACAGAAGTAGTTTGTGTACCATTTATTTTATTCTTCCGTCATTACCAATAGAAATTCTCTAAATAATTTTTCTCTCTTTTGGATCCTAAATTTTCCTTAACTTTCCCCCCTCTCCCTTTCCCAACTTCAATGTTCATGAGTTACTATATGTTGGGACCCTCAGTGTCACAGGAGTTCCCTCCTAATTCTTCAACATTAGATAAATGGTTTTTTCAAAGACAGAGATTATCACTTTCCTTTGAAACTGTCATTTATGCTCAGATCAATCTAGGATGAAACCTCAGACCTCCAAATTCTCTCCCTCTTTAAAGATGTATAATGGAAAATGTTCTGGATTAAGACTTGAAAAACCTGGGTTCCAATCCCAATTCTGGCCCTATGCAGTTGTGGGGTCAAGTCATTTCAGCTTTCTGATCCTTATACAGTTTTTCATAGGGAAATCTGGATAGAAAGGTTTTATTATGAACAAGGATTGTTAGGAGGAAGGCATTACGTACTTCTTAAATTACTACATAAGTGTGAGATATTATTTAAAATTCCACTTTTACACGATCATAGTTGAATTTTCCCGTAATTTATAAATGGGGGAGGGCAAAGTGTTGTCTATAAAATTACTGTATTGAACAAAAGGTGACTTTCCTTTTTAAAGGTAGAAATAATGCTTCTAGTTGCAGTTTCTTTTTGTTAGAGATCTGTTGCAAACCTGTATAGTCTATTTTTTCCAAATTATTTTCTTTAATAATATTTTTAAAGAAAATTACTGAATTCAACAATTATCAAGAATAAATGACAAAAATGATGTTTTCTGAAAATCAAAATGATACTCAAAAACATAGTACAAACAAATTTATTATTACAGAATGGCTAAGATAATAGTAAAATAATTTTAATTTGCTGAGATGCTCAATTACCTTTTGTAGCCTTAAGAGGATTAGAAAAGATTCTGAGAGGTCACTAGTAAAGGATGACTACATACAATCTTGAATAAAAAAATAACCATAATACTTAAGAAGGAATCATGGTATATTATCAATTACAAACAGAGGTATGTTTGGGGAACGGAAAGTTATATATGGACCACAGACTCTTTACCACTACCAAAAGAATTATTTTCCAAAGTGCAACCATTTTGAGGCTTATGAGCTTCTAGCCTGGTAACAGTCTTCACTCAATTCAAAGAAAAAATAAGTCACTTACACTGTCTTTTTGTCCTGCCGAAGAAGTTTAGAAGAGAATTCACTTAAAACTTCAAGGAAAGCCAGGTTAGGAGGTGGATACTCTTGTCCCTTTTGATTTTGGTATTTGAAAGCAAATTCTATGCCATCTCTGTAGCAAAGGAAAAAATGCATATTGTAAAGGGTTATCTTCCTAATGTCATTAATACCTTGTTTTTCCTGATGTTTTCCTTCTTTATCTTTGTCCACTAGTTACATGTGCTATGTGAATTTAACTGAAAGTATATTTTATGGCATTATTATTATTACATATGTGATATTAAATTCAAGAAGACAAATAGATGGCACATGAATTTTTCACTCCTAAAAGTATTTTGACAATTTACAAAGCTTTAAAATTATTCTATAAAATTATCCCATTCCAATCATTGTATTGTAGTAATGTAAGCACTAGAGTAAGCAAAAAGAGGCAGCATGGAGGAACAGGATTTTTAAACAAGAATTTAAGTGGTTTTAGTAATAAAAATATTACAAGCTGTGTAATTCTGTATAAGTCACTTCATCTTTCTAAGCCTATGTTTCATTATGTGTAAAATGGTGATAATAAGACTTGTGCTACCTGTCTCATAGGGTTGTTATGAATGAAATGCTTTGTAAACTTGAAAGTGCTATTATCAATATGAAATATATCATATATATTTTAAAGTGGTAGTGTGAAACCTGGAAAGACTTTAATAAAATGATACAGAAAGAAGTGAGCAGAACTGGGAAAAAAATTTATATGGTAACAACATTGTAAAGAAACCCCCTTTAAAGGCTTAAGAACTCTGAATACAATGACCAAACATGATTCCAGAGGACCAGTGTTGAAGCATGAGACATACATTTTGGATCCAATAAATGTAGGGATTTATTTTGCATGACTTATTTTGGGGACAGTTAAATTCAGAACAATAAAAAAAGAAATGAAAGTAGCAGTATATACAATGAAGAATCCCAGGCCCAGGAGTCAGAAGACTCCTAATTTTGTCTCAGCCCTGAACTAGCTATGTGACTTTGGGAAAGTCATTTAACTTCTCTTGGTCTCATTTTCCTCATTTGGAAGCTATGGGGTTGGATTAAATAATTTCTAAGGTGTCTTTCAGTTCAGTGAAGCAAATAAACTTCATAGTTCCAGAACTTGAGTCTATGAATTGAAAAACAGATGAAGTGTCTATTTTAGAAAAAGTTTTTAGAAAAAGAATAGATCCTGGAGAGTCTCTATGTAATAGTAAAGTTTTATTCAGTCCACTAACTTGTTTTTTAAAAAATTTCAATTTTATTATTTTTCTCAGTTCTGAATTCTCTGTCTTCCACTTCCCTCTCTCCTCTACTGAGAAAGCAAGATAAGCAAAAAAATTACAAAGATGTGTAGTCAGTGAAGCAAAACAAATCCTCTCATTGGCCATGTTCAGTTGTGTCACTGTGGTGATCAGAATTTCTACTTTACCATATTGTTGTCCATGTATAAATTGTTGCCCTGGGTTCTACTCACTTCACTATGCATCACTTCATATAAATCTTCCCAGGTTTTTCTGAAACCATCCCCTTCGTCATTTCTTAAAACAAAACAGCATTCTGCCACATTGACAAACCATACTTTGTTCAGCCATTCCCCAGTCGATAGGCATCCCTTCAGTTTCCCCCTTGTCACTACTAAAAGAGCTGCTATAAATATTTTTGCACATAAGGGCCCTATTTCCTTTTCCTTTGATTTCTTTGAGGTACTAGTAGTAGAATCACTGGGTCAAAGAGTATGCACGATTTAATGGCTTGTTGGATATAGCTCCAAATTGTTTTCTAGAATAGCTGGACCAGCTCACAGTTCCACCAACAGTGCATTAGTGTACTTATTTTTCCCACAGCCCCTCCAGCATGTCATTTTTCCTTTCCATTAACATTACCAATCTGATGGGTATTAGGTGGTGCATTAGATTTGCATTTTTCTAATTATTAGTGGCTTACATTTTTTCACAAGGCTATCAATAGGATTTCTTTTTCTGAAAACTGTCTGTTCATATCTTTTGACCATTTATCAATTGAGGAATTGGCTCACTTACTTGTGAAGTGTTGCAACTGCTTCCCTGGTCTTGATCTGATCCAGCCCAAAGGTGAGAGCAAATCTTCGTGCCAATTCTTTAATGCCACTGACATGGGCAGATGTCCTGTCCAAGTTGGGGCCTTGTTCTTGAACAAGCTCATTAAATAACTAGAGAAAAAAAAAAGGTCTAAAAACCTACAGGCTTTATTTTCCTCCTTAGATTATGATCTTTCTTAATTTCTCCAGTACCTTGGGGGTAGTGGAATTGTTCTGTGTAAGTGATTAAATGTATAAAAATCCAAGTGATTATTACCATACAGTTTTATTATAAAGATGGAACATAGACAATATTTTAGTTCTAAAAGACAACTGCAAGACTATATGATTTTAACTATAGCGTAACATAGAGAATTTGGAACAACTTGCAAAGCAGCCTAAATCAAAAAGGCTTGCCTATTCAGCAAAGACAATTCTCATTTTGAGAGGGGCCTACCTACTTACTTTATAGTTTATCCTACCCAACTGTTTCTACTTTTCTTTCTGCGTGTCAATGAAGACACACTGAAAATTACTGCAAGAAGTTTTCATTCATTTCTTCAAATCTACTATTTCAAGAAACCTACTTTTGGTAAGCTTATGTGAATTTAGAGGTAAATAAATATTATATCTTTTGGGAAAGTCCAATTATCTACAGCTGATGCTTCTAGGTCCTAGGGACCTGCTAGTTAACCTCAAGCCATTTTTTTCCTCACCCCTTTAATAATATTGTTCCCCTGGAGCTGACTAGGAAGGGTATAAGCTTTTCAATATCCCTTAGAGTTCTGTGGAGGCTAGTTCTAAGTGGTTCTCTCTTTAGTTTTTCTATAGCTTAGTATACAGACATACTTCAATAGTCACAGCTTAAAGCTGAGCCAACTGTACTACAGAGAAGCTGAAAGATTCACTGAAGATATCACTGGCCTTTTTCTTTGTTTCTACTATAAAATGTCACCCTCTATCAAAACTGTTCTATACACCTGAAATTCCATTAACTTTTTACTGTTTTACCTTAGGTTGATTTTTATTTTGGGATACAGTATTCCCTTTAATCAATGTAAAAATTAGGTCAGTTATCCCAGGACATACTCCTTTCTCTTTCCCAAACTTAACACATTGCTCAATTTCATTCAGAAACCAGAAGACTTGCGGGTATTGTGAGATTCTACCAACTCTGACCTGGGCCAAAAACACTACTCTTAGAGATGGGACTGTGCATATTTGGACTTTTGATCCTAAACATTAACTGTGATCTTTTAATTCCTACACTTCTCATAAGATATATTTGGGTTGACACCTTTTTGGGCATTTGTTCTGCACTTCAGTATCTCTAAATAAAAGGTAGGCAAGAAAAATAAGAAATTTTCTTTCATGTGAGGAACTCTGATAAAGTTTAGTAAAGAAAGAAAGAAGTTGTATCTATGAGATCTTAGATTACCTATGGATTAAAATGATCTCTTCTATACCTCTCCCTTCCCTAATTACCATAACAAATATTATGTTAATAGAATTATTTACTTATTTGTGTTTTACTTTTTAAATGGAAAATTTAACACGAGAATCATTATTTCCAAACTGATAGCTTCAGCTGGTTAGGCAGTAGAGGAGTCTTTGTGACTCTACCTGCCCTAGCTTTTGAATGTGAACTACAGCAATGTCTGATGTAAGACAAAAACAAGTATTTACGCTTGTGTGGGGCAGGAGAAGACAACAGGAATGAGTCTGTATTATAGCTAAACTTTAGATTTCTCTTACCTGCTGTAAACTGAGAATGAGGGTTTTTGCACACTGAATCTTATCGATCTGTCTTGTTTTACTCAATGTTTCCTTAATGATGTCACCATAGTCATTGTAATACTGTGAGGAAAAAAGACAAAATTGTTTTTGAAAATGTAATTTAACTGACAAACGTCGAGTAATGAACTGGAGGGAAGGTGATGTGTGGAGATAAAACTAACTTCTTTTTGTTTCTTCATATTGAAGTATTTTGTTAATATTAAATACTAAAAGATTTTTTAAAGGCATATATTTCCTGCCAAGGAAATAATTTGTACAGTTCATTAAGAACTGTTGCTGGAAACTAAATACCTACTCAATGCAAAATACTAAAAATGGGTACATTTCTTTACTCTCAGCTTTTTCTCAACTAGAAAGATTGTGAAAGAAGACAAATTTCATTTCCTAGTGAAAAAACATGGATAAGATGGATAAAAGTAAATGAATTTGTATTTTATTATTAATTAGTTAGCACTCATTAGGTATTCACAAAGTAGTAGAAGCAGAAAGTACAAAGGAGGCAGCCACATTCTTAATGAACTTATATTTGTCAGTTATTAACTATAGTTAAGTCAAAAAGGTAAGTACTTTAGATTAAAACAATATTTAAAGTTGTAGAACTGGCAAAGGCTTCTATAAATCTCTTAAGAAGTAACCAAACTCCAGTACCAAGTATATTTGGCAATAAAAATAAATCTACTCCCCTCTCATCATTTCTCCCAAATACTGGATCACTAATGTTGCCATTATAATGATCTGGAAATAGTCTCGTATGCTTGAGAGCTGGATAGATAGCTAAGCTGTTTATTTCAGAAACCAATTCTGTAATCAATCAGTCAATCTATAAGCATTTATTAAGTATCTTCTATGTGCCAGTCAGTCACAAGCATTTAAGAGATGTGCTAGACTTTGAAGATACAAAAAAAGAAGAAAAAAGGAATAGTTCCTTACCCTCAAGGAGCTTATATTTTATTGAAACAACATGTATACATAGGCAGAAATAAAATATGTGCAAAGTAAATGCAAGGTAATTTTATGTAGAGAAGAACTAGTAGCTGAGGAGGAAGAAAGAATCAAGAAAGGTTTCATGTAGGATTGGGTGCTCATACCAAGCTCTGAAGGAGGCCTGGGATTCTAAGAGGGTTGGGGGAGAATAGATTGCTTACAGGCATTTGAAACAGCTTATGCAAAGGCACAAAGACGAGAAATGGTATAACATGGGAGGGACGGTAAGTGGACCAGTTTAGCTAAACTACAGTATGTATTAAGGGAAGTTAGATGTAATAAGTCTGACAAGGTAGGCTGAGGTAAAATTTTTAAGGGTTTTAATATTTTAACAAACTCTTAATGTAAGACTTGGCCAAGATGCTAAAAGTAGAAAGTTTTTGCCTGCATTTTTTAATAAATGAAAACTTATAGCTAGTTCCTCTTGTTGAACTATAATTAGTTTATAATTAGCTTATTCATTATAGAATAAGCCCCTCCACCAAGGATCTGCAACCTATAGATCTTGAAGCCTGATCTGGTAGATCAAGTTATTTGGCCTGACCATATTTCCTTCTCTGTTAGTTTCCTCCTTTTGGGCTCTTCCAAGATTTTGAAAAAGCTGCTGATCCTTTTCCTTCTTTTCTGTACATCCTGGGAAGATGTGGCAGAAAGAACACTGGAAGAGTAGCCAGAGACCTGGACTAGTCCTAGTCAGCTGGAGGACTGCCAGACCTTGGGCAGATGGCTTTGCTTCTATGGGTCTTAGTTCCTTGATCTGTTAAACGAGGGTATTTGATGAGATGCTTTTAAACTTTAATAGACTGATATTTCATACCTCTTTTGTCTCTCCCCCAAATCAGGGGTAAACTCAAGGCTCTGAGGAAATGAAAAATAGTTGATTGTCCTGCAAGGATAGAAATCTTATTCTACCAAGTCTGTATACTGTTAGGTAATATGTATTGGTATTTCTCTCTCTCTCATCTACTCTGATGCCCAAGAAGAACAAAGTCAGAAGCTTGTCTGAATCAGAAAGCCTTCAACAAAGCCCAACCTATCAATTAGCAGAGAAAACACAAAGGTCATCTATTGTCATTCTTTCCTTTTTTGGTTTGAATGCCAAATTTCTATAAGAGTTAAGAAGGAAACAAAGACATGTACCTTCATGTAGTGTTTGAAGATATCAGCAGCTGCATGCATGTCCACAATGTCATAAATGATAAGTTTACTAAAGGCCGCCAAAAGGTTTCTTCTCTTATGTAAGGCCTCGATCTTGTTAGCTTCGTCTTCCTCGTCACCTTCTGAACATGGGGATGAAAAAACAAGTGAGGAATCTCAGTTCTCATCTCAAGACAAATTAGAAACAATTTCTGCATGAGAAAACTAGTTCTTGATGTGCTTTTCATTAAAATTTTATTTAAATTTTCAAAAGAGTTTCGGTTTTAGAAAGAAAATAAAAGTATTTCTGTTTGCAGTATTAATAAGGATGTGTGTTGCTATTATTTTAATTTTGGGGTGGCATAATCATTTAATTCAAAGCACACAAAAAGGAGGAAACCAGATCGTTTTTCCCTTCTAAGAACCGCCTAGTAAATATTTTTCAGTTTAAGAAAAAAAACAACACCAATAATTGTAGTGAAAAGTGAATGTTATAGAATGGAGGCTGAATGACCATGTGTTGTAGATAATTCATCATTTGGGTAAAGGTTGGACCAGACAAACTTTGAAAACCTTTCGTACTATGAATTTAATATCTATTTTCACCAGTTTCAATTCAAATCAACAAACATTTACTATACACAATTACTTGCAATGGTTTTGGGATACACAATGTCAAAAACGAAAACTTGTTCATGAGAAATAGGTAAAAATCTTAGAATCAGACTTCTTACTTTGATAACAAGATCAAGTTAGGTTCCCTGTGTTTTAATGTCTTCCTGTATAGGAAGTGAGTTTAGAAAGTATTCCTTTTCAGAAAAGCTGATGAAAGATAAGTTTAAGGAGTGGGTTTGATCTGAGGAGTTGCCCAGCAAGCAGGTTCCTCTGTAGAGTATGAATATGCCCATGGGTATTTTGTTAAGACAATTCCTGATTAGTTTTTCAAGATTAAGGCTGTCCCAAGATAAACTGGCTAGTTTAGAGACTTCTCTTGGTATTTTCTGTGAAGTGGGTTTTAGTGACTAGGGGATGCCCATTCCCTCTAAGATGACTGGAAAAGTCATTCATACCTCTGTTCCAGTCTGTAAAAAAGAACTAACACTCCCTGTGCCTTTTTTTGCCTTTTCGTTGTACCCCGCTTCCCAAGCACAGGAGTTAGGGGTGGGGAATGATAGGGTATTTTAGAGAAGCACATAGAAGCTATGTGAATTAGCCCATATGGCCCAAGAGGAAGAGTTCTCAATGTTCTGAACAACTGCCTCCTAGTTACAGAAGGAGGGAAATTTCCTAGGCGGAGTGGCCCCTAAATCTTGTAGTTTAGCAGAGAAGGGAGATTTCTTGTGCAGTGCTAGTCTTGGGGGTTGTCTTGACAGTAACCCCAAGCTTAAGAATTTGGAGACATGAACTGGTAGACAACAGAGCTCCTGAGCAGTGTCTTTTAGCAAAAGAAGAGGGTCACTCTTACATCACTATGGCTGAAGAACAGTAAGGGAACTAAAGATAGGATATGGAGAAAGTAAGAAACTTGGAGAGGTCAGCACAACTTGCCATGAGCCCTCTAGCTGCTTGCAGCATGAGGAAGGATTTCTTCTACATAAAGGATATTTTCTTCTACATTTTTCACAGGCTGCCTGAAATCCTTTGGCCTGCAGGCTGCAAGTTGTATGGGACTGGACTAGGATCTTACTTGCTATCACTGAGAGTTATCTGGACAGAGCAGGCCTGATGGAAAGAAAGGACATCTGTCCAACAGCCCTAAAATATTTGTCTTCTGCTGGTCATGGGAGGCATGATGAATTTGAGATAGATTGATTGTATAGGATCCTGTGGGAGAGCTAAGTCTTCAAAAGAATGTCAGAATGTTGTGCTACACCAAATTTAGGTTTAATCCCTTCCAAAGGGAGCAGCTTTCGGGCTACTATGAATGCTTCATTGTTTATGGGCTCCTTTGTGCCTTCTGAATTTTCTTTTAAGTGAAATTAGGATTGTCCTCTGCCTGATATGCATTTGTTATCTGGCACGCTTGAATGGGACTCTTTCCCTTGCATCTGTGGACATCTAGATATGAACGTACTTTGTATATTTACCAGAATGGAATATACTATGGGTTGGTGCGTATGAACCACAGAGAAAGTGACCCAACTGAGTCAGCTTTTTAGATCAGACTTGGTCACTGTGAGCCTCCGCCCAGGAGGGCTCTGGGTCATGGGTTACATAGAGATAAAAACATAAAATTCATTGGTTTAAAGCCTTTGACACATCATCAGACTCATTTTCTGAGTGATGTCATTAGTTTCTGCCTCTTTTTGATTTTTATTTCATGGACTTGTTAAAATTGAAGGTTTGTTTTGATTGAAGCTCTTTACACTTGCACATCAGTTTATTTCTTGAATGGGTGTATTTTCAGATACACACCAGAGCGGGAATCTCTTATACATGCAGAAGAAGGAAGATCCTAAAGTAAGAGAGTCTGTGTTTTCCAAAGGTCTTGCAGAAGAAATATGTCTGGCAGAATCCCATACAACATTCTTATGTTTCTGGACAAACAACTTAAAATATCTTTGTATTCTATGATATTTTAAAGTACTTCTTCATCGTTAAGAGCGCTGCTTGTTTAGTAATTGGGTCAAACATATTAGTGATGTTATTTTCACTTAAAAGTATTCCTATGAATATTAAATTTAAGAGTTTACATGCAGCAATATTACTTGAGAACAAATTTTCTTCTGTTTCTCAATACAGATGTTGTCTTTCACTGCACCTTTTCTTGTTTTTATAAGCAAAGAATTATTCAGATTCTTAAAACAAGTGATTTTACTGGGCCTTGTGGCAAGAAATGTCTGAGAAAAATCCACTGTCTGTTGTGTAATTATAATGACAGTTTGGCTCCAGAGGAGAGATAAGAAAATGCATCCCTTTTTGTGGAAGAGATGTATGTAGATAGTATGGGTGTGAAATACTGCATGCACTGTTAGACAAGGTTGATATGTGCATTTTGCTGAATTATTTTTTTTTTTAAAGTCTAAATTATGAAGCAAGGCTCCTTTAGGTAGAGGAATAGAAAGGCGATAATCAAAAATGAATGTGATATAAAGACAGAGGCATAAAAAAATCCACTGTTTGACTCAGATGCTGTGATTGTTGATGAGAATACTAGAAATTTTTGTCATGTAGTTCTTAGAAGCCATTTGTGGAAATCAAAGCCAAGAGGCAACATAGACACACAGCTAATCTTAAATATTTCATCTACCACTGAAGAAGATCACTAATCACAGGAGAGCATTTTATTATCCTCAAGTGTCTTATGCTTTAGAGTGGTGCACTGTGTTTTTGCTGCTTAAATGTTAGCTTTCTCAATATCTTTATTGCTTCTCATTTCTGGACAATATTCTTATTATCTGACCTTTTCCCACGTGTGCCTACAACCCAATCTCTGTTTGTCATAAGTAGATTTCTTTCCTGTTTCAATATATACTGAACTGTGAGACCACTGTCTAGACCAAGAGGAAATCCTTCATTCTGGTTTATGAAAAGAAAGCAGGAAAATTCTGAGACAAATTCCAGTTCTAAAAATAGCAATTTTGTTTCACTGTTTAGTTATACTTTAAGAATCTTAAATTTAAAGAAAGATTCTTATAAAAACACATCCCCTAACATCTGTGAAGGAGAAGGGATTTTGGGCTCTCTGATTTTTAGAAAAGACATCCTGGTATATAAGGCCAGTATGACTCTTACATATCATTCTCAGAATATCTGAACTGTAAATTTTATAAGTTATTTATAATAATAAAAAAAATTACAGTTGAGTCTGGTAACAAACTCAATACCCAATATTATTCTTGTCAAATGGATATCTTTTATTTGTGAAAACTTCCCTCAAGAGTAGTCTATTGTGCATAGTTTTCATCCTCAAATACATCCTCTTACCTTTTATTCATATGACCAACAAATTATGCATATTCAGAACTACATATCTTAATCTCTTCCTTTTAGAACAAAGTTACCCTGAACATGCTTTAATTAGACAGAAAGCAGATTTATCACAGGAAAAAAATAACTTTAAAAAAAACAAATAAACAACCCTTTCCCCACCATTAGCAGTTTTCTGACTGTCAATTTTCCCCCTCATAGCTCTTCTCGAGCTATAAAGAGAACAGTAATATTAAATATGATAAGTTATAAATACCCATGCTTTGGTTCTCTTCATCTTGATCAATGAAGACATGGTCCATCACAAAACTGAGGAGCTCAGACTGCAGTCCAGTGTCTGGATTAAACACCAAAGGCTGAAGCCCCTCCCTGCCCCCTGTCATTAACTGGTGGCTGAAAATCATCAAGAGGTCACAAAGCAACATGAAAGCCTGGAACGCAAAGAGATTCACCATCAACATGCTGGAATAAGAATCATGATTCTAAAATGAGAAAAAGTCAAATATGCTGAAAACAACTAAAGGTTAGGAGAAATTTTTTGAATTTTCCAATTCTATAACACGGGTCTTGCCTTCAAACTTTGTCAAGAATAGCCACACACTCAATTACAGAAGTTAGCTATGAGCTTAGCAACTAATTTGCATATGAAAGCAATTTCTTTGATTTGGTTGTATTAATTCAAAGAGAGTAAAAAGAATCTTGTCAAAACTTGTAAAACTCAATTTTGCTGAGTTGAGTCCAATCACGAAAATAAGGAACTTCAAAGGAAGAATGATTTGAAGCTGACAGCAGCCTGAAATAAATTACATATAATTTTATCTGAATGAAAATGTTCATAACTGTATACCTTGTAGTAACCTTTCCAATGTTATTCTCCCTCAGATAATTTCTTATTATTATAATGCAAAAGCATGACAAATCTTAAACAGTTCAGAACTAAATTTTATTAGAATTTTATGCTAATAAATAACTTTATAATTTTTATTTTTCATTTTAATGTTAGATGAATTGTTTACACGAAATAAATATTTTAACAGCAGCTTTGTGGAAGAATAAGAATTTAAGCATTCATTGAAAATTTGATAAAAATATCCCCAATAATGAAAGCAATGCCAAAAGTTTGTTTCTAAGTTGTAATATAGAATCCATTTTTCAAAGCAAGTAGTATTATAAATGGTGGCTAGGTTGCTTGACTATTCCACAAAAGACTAAATATTTACATCATAATGTTGCTGATATAGGATTGCATACTCAGCACTATACTTCAGCTACTTAATGGATGAAATAGAACTTTGTGGGCAGGCTCCAGAACTTCATCACTCTTCCTAAAACTGTTAATACAGAAAAATATATTCTGTGGTAAACAGCTTGCAGGTGCTTACTTATGTCAGTGGCCACCTGCCACAAGAGGGAAATGAAACTCAGGGAATTCTTGCATCCCTGACTTCAAATAGGCTGACTACCTGCTGTCTAGCAGAAAGGAAAGCAGAGATGCAGGTAATACTTTCTCCCTGGTTGTTGCTCTGGGCATCTCCAGGCAGCATCAATGAAGAGCACAGAATGTGGCAGCTGTGGGATGTTTATTCTCTAAAGCTCCAGATGGGAGGCTGGGGGTTGGGAGAAGAAGAGAGGCTCTCCTCACCCCCAGCAAGGCCAGCATTCTGTATGAATGAACAGATGTTTATGAGTACACTGTTGGCAATTCATAGAGTAATTTATCAAGAAGAAGAAAGTAGCAAAAATATGCCAAAGAAATAAACATGAAAGAGGCTACTATGTGTTAAGGTATGTAAACCAGTCTAGGAGAAGAATTCAATTCAATTTAACGAGAATTTATTAAGCATCTATTATGTGCAAGACACTGCTAGATGCTGGAGATACAAATATAAAATGAAAAGGTCTGTGCTGTCAAAAGCTTACATTCTAATGGGAGACACAATATTCATATAGAGATATGAACACAACACAATTTGAGGTGGGGGAGAGCACTAACAACTAGAAAGATGAGGAAAAAATTTAGTTAAACCTTTAGGTTAAACCTTGAAGGAAGCTAAGGATTATGAGACACAGGTAGAAGAAGCACATGTAAAGAAAAGGCAAGGAGGCAGGGGGTGGGAGCCCAAGCTCTGGGAATGGCAACCAGGTTACTTTGAAACATGGATTATGTGAAGAAAAAGAATGTAAAAGTACTTGGAAAGGCAGGCTGGAGTGAGACTGTGAATGGTTTTAAATGACAAGGTGAGGTGTTTTTATTTTATTCTAGAAAACAGGGAACCACTGAAGATTTGTAAGCAGAAGATTGACATCATCAGAACCTTGTACTTAAATAAGAAAGCCAAGAGAGAGATGCAGGATAAAGTGACTAAAATCTCACATTTATATTTATATTAAGCATTTCAGCTTTGGGTTGTGAGTTATAAACTCTGATGCAACTGGTTTGGTGAGAAGGACAAGGCAGTTCCTGTAGCATCGCTGTCACCCTGAAGGAGGATGATGACTTGTGAAACCCATGCACACAGGAGTCACCGCTCCACATGCTTCTCTCACTGTGCCTCATCAGTGGCAGCGAGGATCAACCCTGCTGTTACTCATGTTCATGGTCTCAAAGACCACAAAGGCTCAATTTCAGAGAGAGAAAGATAAGGTAAAGGAAATATGCAATTTTGACTCTATCTTTCCTCTTCTCTTATAGGCCAGTAGCAAGCAACTGGGTGCTACTCATTAAGCCTTTAACAAAATTAATTTTCTAACATGTTACTATAGTCAGAAAGCACACTTAACAAGAAGGTTCTACATTATGAAAAGGTCGATCACAAATAAAGAACTGAATTCTAGTGAAAACGTATTTTACCAAAGCATTTTGAGCAAGGAATTCTGATAATATATCTTTTGTACTTGTGCATTTGAATTTGGCTACAAGGAAAATTTAACTGACATTTTCTTACCTCTTCCTTGACTGGGGTGTTAACATTGGATAGGCACTGCTGGCAAACAGCCAAGAAGGATTTCACAGTTTTCCTCAATACCAACAAATCGTCCTGAAAAATATGTTCAGATTATGAGGTATTATTCAAATATCAATGAGTTTCCTAAAAATGTTACAGAAACAATGATGAATAGAAAATAGCAAATTCATTTTGTCAAGGCAATTTGCAAAACCAATTTAATTTTAAGAGGCTACACAGAAAGTTAACTCCTGGTTATTAATGTAAGATGTTACAGATATTTATTATTAATGTATTAATGTAAGATGGTACAGATAATCTGTGTAGCAAAATTTATCTGAATATGGAACAATTTCCTCCCTAGGAGAGTCAACCTTCCTAATAAGGTTTTGTTTTAGCTGCTGCTAAAACGATTTTGTATTTGTGGAATATATTTGTTAGCAAGAGAAGAAAGCTTGAGAACACTCTGGGAGGAACAGGAAGCTACTTAATCAATAACTCCTATTAAGAGAATGAGTTAAATGATACAAAAAAGTGTTAAATGTTCTCTCTCTGCTCTGAAGGTGTTAACAGTTTTGCTAGATAGAACTAAGGAACGTTAAAAAATTAGAAAACAAAGGGGCAGCTAGGTGGCGCAGTGGATAGCGCATTGGCCCTGAAGTCAGGAGGACCTGAGTTCAAATGCAGCCTCAGACACATAACACTCACTAGCTGTGTGACCCTGGCAAGTCACTTAACCCCAATTGTCTCCCCAATGAAGTATTCTGCTTTGTGTTAGAAATTAAGTGCAATCTAAATTGAGAGAAAAAAGAATTCACAGTGGCTGCAGTAATTGCAGAAAGCTCTATGAAAGGCAGGATGAAAGCTGGACTTTGAGAGACAGTAGAATTTAGATAAGAGTCTTCCAAAAGAAGCTGAGGGAATGAGAGAAGAAGGAAATAACGTGAAAACTGGCAGAGGAGCATGAATGAGTATGGTACATATATAGAATGGGTATGGTATATGTATATGTATGGGAAGCTAGTTGTAACAAAAAAGTTGCTTTACATAATCAGGAATTAATAGTATTAAAATAGAATAGTAATATAATTAATAGCAGTTGTAAAGCATATGCACATCAATGAATGGAGAGAAGAGTAGGGATACATCAGATATGAAAGTAGGATAGAGAAGACATAGTAATTGATTGGGATTAAAGGAGAAGGAAGAGTGAGACCCAATGAACACATCAATGTAAAGAAAGAATAATAAGCATAAGATAACCAAAGAGGAGTGTTGAGAAATTGTAAAGAACAAGTTTGGTTCCAAAGATGAGATAGGAGAAGCAATTTCCTCCAATACTTTGCAGAGGTAAGGGGCCCATGTGTGTAGAAGAGTTACTATAACAGCAATTTTTTTGGATGTATTGATCAATTTTGTTGATTTTTTTCCCTCTTTCTCTTAAAAACTTTTTTTTTTTGTTATAAGTAATGACTCTCTGGGTAGGGATAGGGTAGGAATATGGGGAAAATTTAGGAAGACATAAAACCAAGAGATAATAACAAAGCTATTTAAAAAAAGAGATCATTGGAGAGAAAAGCTTCAGTTTAGCGATAGAGTCAGAAGCCAGATTATAATAGATTAAGAAACGAATGGGAAGTAAGGAAATGGAAGCCATAAACATATACAATCTTTTTTAGAAGTTTGACTGTGAAACGGAGAATAGATACAGAACAATAGGAATGGCAGGTTTAAGTAAAAATTTTTTTTAAAGGATGGAAAAATCCTAGGCATATTTATGGGCTACGAGAAAGGAACCAGTAGATAAGGAGATACTCTAGAGGGAAAAAAAGAAATGTTAAAAGTCAGCAAATCCTTGTGGAGAAAATTGGGGTGTATGTGATCCTGCTCGGATGAGGTATGGTGGCAGAAGGATAGAATTAAGACTATAAGTAGAGGGGATAGCTTAGGCAAGGAGATAAAATAGCTTACTGCATCAGTAACTGGAATTAAGGAGAATAAAATGGAAGATGATTGGTGTTTTGAGGTGTGGTTTAATCAGTAAAACAGGAGACAGGTGGTTAGTGTTATATCACTGTCACTTTCCAGCACCTTGCCTCCCCACTTTCCTTTGTAACTAACAAGTCCAGTTAAGCAAAATTAATCAACAAAATGGTCATATCTGAAAATATATGCCACATTCTGCAGGTACTCTCTACAACCCGAGTTGTAGGATTTTCTCCAGGAGCATTCAAGAGTGAGAAAGTAGGAACACAAAGAAGGCAGATGGTGTCAATGATCTAGGGCTGGAATTTGGCAAGGTGCAAATGAAGACAGGAACATGGGCCAAGGGGATTAGAGGGTAACTGACAGTGTTATGTCCGAACTCATCAACCAAAGGATCAATGGTTGTCAACATTTAAAAAAAAAAATCCAGGTTTCAGAAACAAACAAAAACCCAAACAACAAAAAAGTACTTAAATTGAATGTAGTAGACGATAATAGTGGATACAGCATTGGCTTAGAATCAGGAATACCTAAATTCAAATCCTGCTTCAGACACTTACTAGCTACTTGATCCTGCATAAGTTATTCAACATTTCTGTGCCTCAGTTTCCTTATCTGTAAAACAAGGGGAGTAAACTTGATGACCTCAAATCTCAGTCAGCAAGAAGAGGTTAAAGTAAAATTTAAGTTTTCCTGACTCTATTCTAATGTTCTATTCATAATGCAATTTCCCCCTTTAGTAATTTTTTCATTTTACTAAAAATCATTTAACTTTATAATGTTGGCAACCGAAGTTTGGGCAGGCTGCCAGTACTTCAGTCTGATTGTAAATTTCTTGAAGGTTTTTGGAAGGGTTGGAGTGCTTCAAATTCTAAAGAGATGTTCATAGATTGGCAGATTGAATTTTCATATGATGATGTCAAACAACTAAGCTGATTGTGCTGATTGGAGAGAAAGCAAGTGAGTCAGAGAAGACACCATGGCAGAGTAATGTAGCACTTGTTACTTGACTTTCTCTGTACATCAGTGCTAACCTTTGTTGTGTGTGAAAGTCTTATGCACTACCTTGCCCAAGATGTTAGGCAAATATTTGGACTGCCCAAATTGACCTAAAATAATAAAAACTTCATAGAGTTGGAAAGAATGTTAGGGACCAGCTAACACAAGTACTACTTAAAATGTGAATTTCCTCTGAAATGTCTCCAGAAAGGGGCTAGAATATGTGCTAACACCCCCAGTAATGACCACACCTAGGGTATGTGGGAATTAGGCCTCCCAGGAGCTGATCTGTTAGCTGATTATGTTCAACATGAGGATTTACACCTTGGAAACTGGAAAAGGCTACAAATCAGGGCTTGATTTATTGCTTTGTTGATTACCTGATATTAAGAAGGTGAAGAAGGAAATGCTAATATGACAGATTAAACTGAAAAGTGTGTCATGCAACCACAAAAAAAACCATTACTATAATTGTGACCAAAATATTTTTATAACAAAGTGTGTGCCAGAGTTGAAGGCAGGGGCAAAATCTAGTAATATTCATTGTTAGTACACTATCTTTTGTTCTACACATTCTGATAAAAATTGGAGGCAATGTGTTTAAGTGATCTGCAAAATGTTCTTTGTCAAGGTTTTATACTATGGGACATGGATGTTTTCAAGAGCAGATCTTTTCAACACTGAATGCTACTTCTACTGAATTGTTTATCCATTTTGCTTGTTTTTGTATTCAGATTTCAAATGCATTTTATTACATTAATAATCTCTTATATAGTTCATGACAGACTGCCTTTACTTGGTATAGGTTCAAGTTAATTCAAGATTACACCTAATTTGTTTTTCACTTATCTTCCTGTTCCTAACAAGAGGAGAAAGGTTCCATTCAAGAAGTCACTGGGTTTCTTTTTCTTCTCATTGTCCTGAATTCTAGCAAATTTAGACCGTTTTCATTTATAATTTGATGAAAAATATGGTATCCAGGCTTTTTTTGGTTATAGTTTTCCATGACACTGATGATTCTTAAATTATTCCTCTTTGACCTCTTTTCCAGATCAGCTGTCTTTGAGAAGATACCTTATATTTTCCTCTAAAATATCTTGTTTCTTAACTTTTTAGGAACTCAGCTACTTGTGTCAGGTTTTCTACTTTCTGTTCTAAGCTATTTGTTTTCCCTCCAATTTTTTCCTCTATTTATTTTGATTTTTAGTTCCTAATTCTTCTCCACCCTCCACAACTCACTGAGAAGGCAAGAAATATAATACCCATCATACATATGAAGTTATGCAAAACATGTCCTCATTAGCCAGGTTGTAGGAAAAAGGCAAGAAAAATAAGGAAAGTGAAAGAAAATACCCTTTAATATGCACTCAGAATTTATCAGTTCTTTCACTGGAGGTAGATAGCATGTGGTTCATTGTGCTGATCAAAGTTATAAAGTCCTTCATAGTTGATCATTGTTACAATAGTATTATTATTGTGTACAATGTTCTCCTGGTTCTGGACACAACACCATGCGCATCAGTTCATCTAAGTTGAAACTACCCCCCTTGCCATTTCGTAAAGCACAATATTATTCCATCAATCATATACCACAATTTGTTTAGTCATTTACCAATTGATAGGCATCCTACATTTTCTAATTCTTTGCCCCCACTAAAAGATCTGGTAGAAATATTTTTGTACACATAGGTTCTTTTCCTTTTTCTTTGATCTCTTTGGGAGTATGGACCTAGTAGTGGTATCGCTAGATAGGGTGTGCACAGTTACAGCCCTCTTTGGGCATAATTCCAAATTGTTTTCAAAAATGCTTGCACTAGTTCAAAGCTTTACCAACCGTGCATTAGTTTCACCATTTTTCTATACCCCTCCAGCATTTGTCATTTTCCTTTTCTATCGTGTTAGCTAATCTGATAGGTATGAAGTGGTACGTCATGGTTGTTTCATGTACATTTCTCTAATATGATTTAGAGCATTTTTATAGGACTACTGATAATTTTCTTCTTCTTCTAAAGCCTGCCTGTTCATACTCTTTGATCAGTTATCAATTGGGGAATGGTTCTTATTTTTGTAAATCTGGCTTAGTTCCCTATGTATTTGAGAAATACTAC